ACCACAGGAGGGCGTTGGTGTGGACGGCAAAGCGCCGAAGACGAAACTGCAGTGTAAATGTGAAATGTTGTGTCCATATCCCACTTACACGAAACTGCTGCCACCAGCATTTAGACAAACAGATCTCTTTAGAAGTAACGAGCTTCATCCCGCTGGGAGGATGAGGAGCTCGGAAAATTTCAAATCTCAAGGAAGGCTCACAGCATTCAGGGGACAGTTCAAGCTAAGATAACAGTGAGGGATCTCTGCCTGTGGTGCCAAAAAAATAGGGACAGTTTTGTGACGGCTCCGCGTATCACTGCGCAGGAAGACGACGCAGAGAAAAAGTAGTTCCTGCATGAAGCGGCTCAGACCAGCGAGAAGGCTGCTGAGGTTTTTAAGGTTTTTCTTTTCACACCACACGGCCAGCAGCACTTAGTCCCATCATATTTTCAAGATGGCAGACACACCTCATAAACTGAGCGACTCACACAATGGCTGCTACGTGGAGCTGCTCACAGAAAGGTTGGAGTTTTACTTTTATGTATTTAACGACGCTTTGAGCGCCTTTCAATTCACCAAATGTACAGCAGGGCCTCCAAGACTGGACCCAGCACTAAAGCACGTCTCTCCAACGCAGTCATAACAATCTGCTCATTTTCATGTTCCTCATGTAAAAGTAGAAATTTGGGGTTGTGATGCTACAAAAAACTTTCCTGGCATTCGGCCCAGAAGCTGCTCGTATCCGGATCCGAGAGGTGACCGGACACACCGAGCCGCGGGTGTTACGGCGAGGGCCGGGGTTAACCTCCTTCCTCTGAGGTCGTCCAGCCAGCTGCACACAGTGTGTGAGGCTGAAACGCTCACAGGCAGCAGAGCAGAGCTGCTTTTCATTTCATGTGTCAATGGACAGTAATGAAATTACCTCCACAGACAGAGAGAGATAAAGCAGAAACATCCCGTATGCCATCCTCCTCGGCTGCTTTATGGCTCCAGCATCTCACCCTCCCCTCTCTGGGCCTGTAAGTCAGTTTGTATTGACTCACTGCACTCTCCATGAAGTACCTTTCTATTAGTGGCCGTGATAATGAAATGGATATGAAGCAAATACACAAAGTCCGCTCTCAGCTTTCTCACTGAGATCTACAAAACCTCAAAACGATTTTTATGATGTCCTCTGGACCGCAGCAGCGTGAGAACAAGCCTCGGTCCGCCCTGCTTCCCCAGACAGAAATTATTTGTAATTATGCTCCTTAATGCTAATAAAATGCTCATGCTAATTTGTAGAGACACGTTGCCTTTTAAAATGAAGCCGGTGTTTCCTGAGAAAGACCCTCGGTGCTCCTTTCATATCAGCGGAGACCGACTGAAGCTCAAACCCGAGAACGTGAAGGAGGAACGGATCAAACAGGAAGAGATGAAACGGCAGCAGCTCACAGACCGCAGCAGGGTTTTGTTTTGGTGTGTTTGTCATGTGAGGATATGATGTCTGGCACCAAGTAACCACAAATGATCGCTCCTCCTTCTCTTCCCGTCTCAGTTAATAACTCTGATTTTCTGTTTTCTTAGAGATACTTAAAATGTTGACATGAAAGCATCACGTGTACAACCTGCACTCACACCTACTGAGGACACAGGGATCTGCACCTAACCTCAGCTGGGACTGGATGTGTGTCAAAGAACGAGCTCAGCTGATCGATGACGGAGACTGTTCAAGTGTCATTGTGAAGACACAGTGACATCCCTCTGTTTACAACATTGTCAGAGTTGTATTACACAAACAAACGGATGATGCAAAAATATGACACTAAGTTGAGGTGCCATAATTGTGAAAGTATGATTAATACGTATTTCTGCCATTGATCTGCCATGCTCACTGAGCGTGACTGCATTTGAGTTTTTGTGAGAACCTCTGGACGGTGTCGGCAGCGTTCCATCAAACGTCGGCTTACAGAAAAACTAAGCGAACACAGGCGCACCAAAGCCTGCAGTTCCTCTAACATCCACTAGAGGCTGCAGCATTAAGAAATAAACATATTTACTGCCTGCATGACTGCATGCACAATTAGAGGCACGGCTTAGTTGACTGACAGGTGGGTGGTGACACAGGCGGCTGTAGCTGCTAGCCGTCTGCCTGAACTGGACCTCTGGACGCGTTTGTCCCGTGCAGCTACCATTAACTGCTCACAGGTCCTTCCAGGTGGATCATTATCACCTCGAAAAAGTCTTCTACCCAGACGACTTCATGTCACACAATCGTCGGCCACTTCTCCAAACTATTGTACTATTACTATTGTAACATGAGCAGTCACCGTTTTAACCGAGCCAAAAAAGGACTGAGGCATGCAGTAGAGCTCTAAATGACCTGAGCTATCCAGCTGCTCCCAGAGGTGCACGTGAGCAAACAAACAGCCTGAGACGTGTTTAATGAACCAGAGATTTTCAATTAAACCAGCAAGTCTCTAAAATCGGTCCTCAGCAGGAAGGGAAAATGATCAAAACCTTTCAGAGTGTTGCTGCTACGCTTTCAGACTTTCAGGTTAGAATACATGAAACTTTAATTAACTCTGTGGAGAATCTGGGGTCGGTTACCACAGCAGGAAGTGCTTATATAAGATGATGAAGGGATTTCGTAGACAAATGCCCATTAATATAACCCCAGAAAGAGAACGGAGTTGGAACAGCTGTTTAAAGATTGGTTTTTACTACACTGAGTTATTATTGTCAAGCTTAGTAGTTTCCTTTGAGCCTGAAAGCAGCACGTTCGTGCTAACAGCTGATGGACAAGCACAGACGATTTACAAGTACAACCTGAGGAGTCTGTGGTCATGATGAGCTTTCCTTCAATAAGTAAGACTTCTACACAATAAGAATGTTTCTGCAGCCAGAGGAGTCGCCCCCTGCTGGTCGTCGGAAAGATTACAAGTTTATTACAAAGGCCACCTTTTCATGTCTGAATGAGAGTCGAGTGTTTGGATACAGTCTATGATGAGAACAGGAATGAAATCAAACAAAATGCTGAATCCAAACGCACCTTCGGATCTGTGAGACTTTTGTTCTGATACGAAATATTAAATCCGTCTCTGGATGACGGAGAACCGGAATTTTAACTAAACACCATCCCTGCAAACACTAACGTTGGCAAAGTCACAAATTTCAGAACCTTCACTGTAAAGACTTTTTATTCCACTCATGTGACATGACTCCATTTCACATTAACATATATGACAGTTTTTGGTCCTGTTAAAAGTGAACTACGGTAGAATTATTGGAGATTATATTTAATGCACCCTTCAGCCACATATCTGCAATCAAATCCATTTGAACCTTTATTGAAACACCACTGATGTAAAAGTAAATCGATTCCTTTGAAAACAACTCTACGTCGTACTTATACAGCCGCTCTGTGTCTCTCACCTGTGCTGCCTCGTTTCATCTCACACCTGTGTTTTGTGTGGTGCAGGGGAAGAGATGAGGCCTGTAATGGCTGAACTAAAGACAGGGATGAAGATGGAGTGTGACACGGATGTAGGATGGGAACTAGTTAGAGAATGGACAGAAGGAGAGGGGGTGAGGCTTAAAAAAAAGAGAAGTGACAGGAATGAAAAATCATATTTGCTTGAACACCACCCGCATCTCTGATTGGCTAAAACAGGTTGCTTCCAGAAAAAACACACAAATGCGCCTATCACACAACAGAAGACGATGTCAGGATGGTGTTTCCATAGATACAGCGAGAATAAACATTCATTTGGCCTTGTATATAAATATTTCTATTTTTTTTTAATCAAAACCGCCTCTTTTATTGGTTGCATTTGTGAATCTCTGCACGCAGCAGTAGATGTCTCATTTGGCTCTAAAGGTGTGATGAAGAAAATGGACACGCCCATTTTTACTGCCAACATCAACAACAACAAGAATCATTTGGGGGGGAAAATGCAAAATAACACTCTCTGCAAACCACCCCGAGGCGGTCAGAGGGATGGACGCATGTGGAAAGATTCAGATCAGAAATAGAATTTGAAAAATGGACGGCGGAAGAAAAACGGGAATGAAGGAGGGAGAGGGAGTCAACCGAGAGAGTGAGATGGTGGCGAGTGGGAGATCAGCCAAAATATCCTCTTCTAGAGAGAGAGACAGAAACAGGTAGACGGGAAAACAAGATACAGACAGAAAGATGGAAAAAATCCAGCCTGGAATACACCAAGGCTGAACGGGTGAAGGAAAGAGGGGTAAGGGCCAGAGATGGAGAGATATGAAGAAAATGGAGGGAAAGGGAGCGACACAGACGGAAAAGGGGGGGGGGTGCAGAGAGCGAGGGAGAGTGGAGAGGAAAAGGCGTTCAGACAAGCGTGAAGCATCAACAATGAGGGCTAACAAAGAAAATCCCAATGGAGGCATCAATCACTGCCCCACTTATCCCTCCTCCCTCTGATTTTTAGTCTTTATTCCAAGGTTTTGCCCCACGCACCCTCCTTCTATCACCCTCTTCTTCCCCTTTTCCTCCCCCAGCCACTCCCACCTCCATCCATTCATCCATCCATCCATCCATGCATCCATCCATCTGTCCGTCCATCTGTCCGTCCAGCCTCCAAAACAACACCAAGCCTCCGGTGTCTGTCGTTTCCATGCACCCTCAGCCCAAACAATCTGCGTATTTAAGCTCCCGTTCATGGACGCACACGGCTCGTGTACGATCCCGTGTTTTTATCCGGAGCAGACAGCCTCCTGAGGAGGCTCCATTACAATCCACAGCCTCTTTCCATTTCTGCCGAGATGACTGATGGGGAAAACGGGGAATGTGAACCGTGCTGAGAAAAGTTGCAAATTAAATATACAGCCTAAAGTCTAAGCTTCTTTTCCCCTTTTTTCCCTCCAGGACGTGTATGCCGTCCTCCTTCTCTCTGCCCACAACACACAAAGGAATCCCATGATACAGGGAGGGAAGGATGAACAGAACAATGGCATAAAGGAACGAGTGACGGAAGATAAAAAGGAATCGATGGCTCGTCCTTTCCTACCTTTCTGGCTTTGCGATTCATCCATGTTTTCTTCCATTGTGGCAGGTTACAGTCCCTTTGTCTCGGTTATGTGTGAAGCTGTTTAAAGCCCCTTGCTAGCTCTCAGCAGAGTGTGCGTGTGTGTGTGTGGGAGGCAGTGTGTGTGTGAGTGTTTTTCCCTCCCTGCAGATGATGGAGGCTCAGGGAAGTCCCTGTTCCAACGCTCTCTCTCCTCACTCTGCCTATCTGGACCTGTCCAGCATCCTGTCTCTGGATCCATCCACAGCTTTCGCTTTCAGTACAGAAACAGAAAAACATGAAACCTCCTTAACAAAAAAATATTGACACTAATATTTTTTTAGTCTTAGAAAATTAAAGAAAAGAAACAACACGTGCAGGATTTCTTATGACCAACGACAGAGTAAAAGCTTAATACTAATAAAAACGAAGGCATCTGTCTATATTTACTCCGAATGACAAAGTAAAGAGATGTGAAAAAAGCACAGACAGGTTAAACAGAGCAGCGTGAAAACATCCTCAAACACGGTTTCAAGGAATAAAAGGAAGTCCAGGGGAAACAACAAACGAGGTAGCTCTGAAGTGACAAAGATTTAAAATGACATTAGCTCATTACCAGGCCTCTGGAGAACTACAAGACATGTTGAGTAGGTTTTTTATCCATTTAAATCAGCTGTGTTGGATCAAGGACACATCTAAAACCTGCAGGACACCGGCCCTCGAGGCCTGGAGTTGGACACCCCTGGTCTAGCACATCCCACAGATGCTCGATTGGAATGAACTCATTGCTGTGCTCCTCAAACTATTCCTGATCCGTTATCCTGCTGAAAGAGGCCATAGCCATCAGGGAGTACCATTTCCATGAAAGGGTGTAGATGGTCTGCAACAATGCCTAGGTAGGTGGTACGTGTTATAGCAACGGCCACATGTATGGGAGAACCCAAAGTTTCCCAGCAGAACATTACATTACACCGCCTCTTCCCTTACCTGGTGTTTCCCAGGTGAGCAACACACCTGGACACCTGTGAAACATGATTCATCACACCAGGACGCCTTCTTACATTGGTGCGTGGTCCAGTTCTGATGCTCAGGTGCCCATTGTTGGTGCTTGGACGGGGATCAGCATGAGCACCTTGACTGGTCTGTGGCTGTGCAGCCCCACACATCAGGCTGTGATGCTCTGTGGCTCTGACACCTTTCTATCAGAACCAGCACAAAGGTGAGCCTTGGCTGCCCATGACCCTGTCGCTGGTTCACCACTACTCCTTTTTGGACCACTTCTGATAGATATTGAGTCCTCCACACTGGGAACACCACACAGGAGCAGCAGCTGTGGAGAAGCTCTGATCCAGTACCCATCATAGTTTTGGCGTTTTGTAAAAAAAAATCCTCATACTTGCCCATTTTTCCTGCTTTGGCCACATCAGCTTTAAGGATAAAACCTTCACTTGCTCCTGATGAATCCCATCCACTAACCTTTGATCAAACTGCCTGGACATGTTGCCAGTCCACCACAGAGCTAACACAGAGAGAACGATGAGCACTACACCACACAGTTTATGGTCACATGCATGCTTTTGGTCTGTGGAAGGAATCAGCAACGCTCTGAAGAACAAGCTTCTTGAAATGAGGCAACAGTGCTGACCACTGCACCACCATGCCGTGACAAATCCACAAAACCCACAAAAATAATTTTATTTGTAAAAGTAATCAGTCTACGGTTATGGCTCTGCGTTCGGATCAGATAGTCAGTTTGCACTGTACTGACTGAGCAGATGTTGAAAATCCCTGCATATCCCAGCATATGAAAGGTCTAACAAAGGAAAAAAAGGTTTGCCTGCAGTCCTCAGGCAAACCTGCAGTGAAGCACAAACTAGGGGTGGGCAGGATAAATGGTACACAGTAGAAACGATATGAATTTGGCCGACGGTAGAGATTTTGACTATACCACTCTCCCGCGATAGCGATGTTGATGGTGTCATCAAGCTTGGTGTTCATCTGAACAACAGACTGGACTGGACTCATAACTCAGACGCCCTCTACAGGAAAGGGCAG